ATTTGTTCGATTCGCTCGTGTATATAACAACGTATTTGATTTCAACGAAAGAAATCTCTGTATTGAAAAAATATTACACCAGGGTTTTCGATATCACAAATTTGTCAAAACTTTTACTAAATTTTATCATCGGTACAAAGACATCATTCATAAATATAAATCAACGTGCAGACATCTTATACATGTACGTTCGTGTACGTTTTGTACTTCACATCCCATCTGTTATGGTCATAATCTATACCAGAGACATATTTTGTATTGTATGTCTCTGTATATACAAAGCACACAAAATGTCGTCATTCACCTAGTTAACCAAACCTATAAACAAACTTATTCAGAAGGGATATAGTTACGATAATGTTGTCAAGTCATTAAAGATGGCATTTTTTTAATTAATATTGATTCCCTCAAAAGGGTCTTTGCATCGGAAATAAATAAATAATTTATGATGGTATGATACTAAACCCCTAACGGGAGGGATTGTTTGTGCTCGATTTTCATATGATGAAGACAAAATCTTTCGATCAGTTTAAATGAGGTCTGGAGCTGGAATGTCAGTAACAAATAGTAGTTCTTTGCTAATTTGTGATCCGATTATTGCCGTTTTGCTTAGTTTCTTCTATTATCTATTCTAACATCGTACGTGGACTTCTTTTAAACTGAGTTTTACTGAGCGTATTGTTGTGTGTTTGTTTATTCCACATTGGCTAGGGGTATAGGGGGGGGGGGGGGGGGGGGGGGGGGTTGAGATTTCACAAAACATGTTTAACCCCGCCGCGTTTATGCGCCTGCCCCAAGTCATGAACCTCTACTAGCCTTTGTTCAGTATAGTCTTGTGTTTTTTTTTATTTTGTTCTTTTATATGTTTCGGAGTTTAGTGTGGCGTCCATTTCGCTGAACTCGTATACACTATTGTTTAGAAGCTGAGGACTTTCTCGCTGCGTTGAAGACCCATTGGTGGCATTGGGCTGTTTTCTGCTCTTTGGTCGGGTTGTTGTCTCTTTGACACATTCCTGGTTTCTATTCTCAATTCTATTAATAGCTACATTTATTCACAACTGACTAGATCAGTTGGAATCAAATATGACAGGAATATTTTAACAGTAGTTATCCTAAATTTAATTGTAAGTTCCAACTTTCTAACTCCCATGGTTGACTGGGGTATTGAAATATGGTCTTCCCTTTGTCTTCTTCCGACTTAAAGGTAAACAATCGCCAAAGTGCGGGATGTATAAATTCGCAGCCACGCACACTGCTCATTGCACGTTAAGAACACTTGCAACCACTCTTTGGGGGTCCATAGGTGGCCTGTTGCAATGCTAAATGTATGTCCCTATCCAACATACCTTCATTTTTCAGTGGCATTCCAAATATTCCGCCTATTATTCCGGTCGATCCCCCTATATCATTCATTTGATCTCGTCCTGAACCTGCATGAAGTATTTGCCACTGTACATAAAGTACACAAAGCAAACAACAATCAATTAATCTTAAATCTTTCTAAAATATTCAAATAAATGCATATAATATAACAAAAAATATATAAGCATGATTAAAATACTTCTGTTCAAGTACTGGATTACCGTGGCGGGCTAGTCGAGAGAAAAAACAGATTTATTAAAGGGGCATAATTATTTCAATGTGTATTTAAATAATTAGGGAAGGATATTTATTTCCAACATTTATGTATCTAGACTGAAAAGTATTTCCCAAAATCACAACAACAAAAAACTGCCAACCCCTCCCCCAGAATTAATGTGTGTCCCCTAAACAATAATTGTTGTTATCTTAATAAAATAAGGAGATGTATGGTATGACTTCCAATGAAACAAATATCCTCCAAATGACATTAATGTAAGCAACTATAGGTCACAGTGAGGCCTTCAACAATGAGCAAAACCGAAAGCGTATTGTCAGTTATAAAAGGTCCCTACATGCCTACATGACAAAATGTGAAATAATTCAAAAGACGAAAAACTATAACGGTCTGATTTATGACAAAACAATAAACGAAAATCAAATATGACAAAGAGCTACCAACGACAACCACTGAATTACAGGCTCCTGGCTTGGAACAGGTACATAAAGAATGAGGCGTACCTAAACATGCTTGTTAGGGCTCAACCATCCCATAACACAGGACAGTGGTATGACAGAACACACAATAAGACTAATGTTAAATTAGGTGGGAATTGCTTGACTCCTAATTGGCACGAATCACAAAAAATAAAACAAGAGACACAACTTACAGTATCGATCTAAGAGTACACGCAAATTCAAAGGTTACTGAACTGCTGAAAGAAAGTTCAAATCCTATCCTTCCTGACTAAAGTATGTTTTAATATCTGTAAGTAGCATGACTTTCATTTCTCCTGGGACCTAGCGTTACGGACAAGTGGAGGACCATATAGATGTAGCTCACTTGTGATCAGTATTCTGGAGTTTCTTATTAACAACATATTTGCTGAATTTGGAGGTAGGCTTTTTCAACAAATTGTCGTCATTCCTATGGGAACAAACTGTGCACCTCTCCCTGTCGACATCTTCTTATTTTCATATGAGTGAGAGTTCCTTCAGAAACTTGTCAAAAACAAGAAGATCAAAGAAACCAGATCATTTAATTTCACATTCAAATATGTTGATGATGTTCTTTCCATTAACAATCCAAACTTTTCGGATTGGCTAGAAATTAAAGAAACAGACAGGGCTTCCTCTGCCTCATTTTTAGACTTATACCTGGAATTTGACATAAGCGGTCATCTCAGTACCAGAATTTATGACAAAACAAGACGATTTTAATTAGAAATTATCAATTTCCACCACCTTAGTTACAATATACCAACTTCACCCGCATATAGGATATACACTTCCCAACTCATTTGGTATTCAGGTGCTTGCAGTTGCTAATCAGACTTAGAGTTGATGAACCAGGGGTATGCCCGGTCAAAGAAAGTCTCGTCCTTTGTCTAAAAAAGTTCATCGGGAGATACTAAAACCTTTGTTGGTAAATATTCCGTATCAACTTCACAAATAATACATGATGGTCTTGAAGTTGTAAATTATTAACCTTTACTGTTTAGTCTATTTTTGGTAATATCCTTTTGGCATGGCTCGGTACTTATACATCCCGCCATTGTGTTATTGTGATATGGTCGTTTTTTGTATTCTTGTCTTTCATTTTTGCTTATGTGCTTTGTCTATATTATCCATTTTGATTTTCTTTGTTGACATATTTATTAGTTTTTATAGTGATTAAGATTATAACACAAGGTTACCCTTATTTTTGACATTTTTTCCTATTATGTCTGTTTGTTTTGTTCACACATTGTTGTCAATATAATGGAATTTTATTCGACTGTCATACAAATGAGAGGTTTAGCTAGCTATAAAACCAGGTTTACTCCACTATTTTCTACATAAGAAAATGCCTGTACCAAGTCTGGAATATGACGGTTGTTTTCCATTCGTTTGATGTGTTTGAGCTTTTTATTTTGCCATTTGATAAGGGACTTTCCGTTTTGAATTTTCCTTAGAGATCGGTATTTTTGTTATTTTACTTTTCACTTGAATCATTGATAATTTATGGAATCAGTTTATCAGTATCTTTTCGAAATTGCAGAAATGTGTGAAAGCCGGATGCGGCCAATTTCACGTTGTATATTTATACAAATCAAGTTTTCGTTTAGTGGTCCAAAAGTGTGGAATTCACTATCCAGTGAAATTAAAAAAAAAAAAACTGTTTCTGATTTCAAATACTCTTACAAGTCATTATATTTTTAACCGTGAGTGTAAAATTTATAAGTTTAACCACAATGTATACTACAGGTGTATCATTTTTGTTATATTTTTGTATATATACATCTATAATTGTTTGTATGTGTGTAATAGTAGATTGATTATGTTTTATTCATGTAGTTGATATTGTATGTAGAGAGCCTTATTGAAAATTGGTTTAATCCAAATGAGTTAATTACTCTCTTTAAATAAAGATATTATTATTATTATTATAATAAAGGGAATCAGTCGAAAACGCCGAAAACGCGAAATGCGAAAACGTCAAACTGTGACATATCGGGAAAAGATGCATTTTTCGACTGATTTTTATCATTCAGACCTGAGACTACTATAACACAGTATATATAGTATTATATATGTGTTATAGTAGTCTCAGTTCAGACTGATTTAACTTGAAAACGAGTTCATGGACCCCTCTTTTTTAAAATGACATTAGGTTTGATTACGTATGAAGATTATATGTACCAATTTTTATGAAAAATTTACCGATGAAATTTTTTTGAATTAGATAAATAATATACAGCAAAAAAAGCCGTTTTTTTCTAAAATCATGAAACTTTGATAAAGATTAATTATTTCCAAAGATTTGTTATAAAATTTAGAGCATACTTATGTAAAGAAGATTTCCATGTTTTTTTTGCAAAAATCCGCTTTTGTTTATCTTTTGAAACAAAAAAGTTAGGTATCTGTCTATCCAAAGGATAGAAATGTTCCAAAAAACGAAATTTTGACTAAATGTCTAAAATTTCGACCCCATTTATCTCTTGTAGCACATGAAGGTATATTTGTTATTACATATTTTAATTAAATAGGTAAAAAAAAGCTTGTATGCAAATTTTCTTTAAAAAAAATCATCGTAGGATCAAAACTTTATCGTATACCCTAATTAAGTCATATCCGAATGCCTTTTTTTATATAAATTCTGAAAATGTATTGATGTTATTTCAGTTAATTTTTTTTTTTCGTATGATATAGATCTAGTATGATTTTTTGCATTTTTTTTTAAATTTTTTATAGTTTTAGTTTAATTCTGTTACTTTGTGTTTATTCATTTGTAGTTTGTTTTCATGATCTACAATAAAACGGATATTTTACGTGTTACTTCCAATAACACTCAGTAATTTTGACAATTTTCATTGATTAATGTCTGAAAACGCTTGTCAGTACGAATAATCCAAAGTAAGATTGAAGCATCAAAACAACGTCGATGTAAACACCGGCATGATTCCTGCCCCACGTCAGCTAGTCGAGAAAATTACCAACAGTCATGTCAAAACACAGCGAAATGAGAAGAAGAAACAATCAAGACAGAACACACGATCCAAAAATTAAAACCAATGATTTTAAGCATAAATCAAAGTCTAAACAGTCTTTTACCAAGCCGTCAAATCTCGCCACAATTTTCCTGATGGTAATCGTTATTTCGGGTATAGGCTACTGGAGATATCAGACAATGCTTAAAGAAGTGGTAAAAATGCCTCTTGACGTTCATAAAATAAACCACGACAATTCGACCAGTGCAACAGTAAATCCTGATCGTTTCTGGGGTTCGTACAGGCCAAATTTGTATTTTGGAATGAAAACTCGTTCACCACAGTCCCCACTGTTTGGTTTTATGTGGTTGACACAATTTGCTCGTGAAATGCCTCCTCCAGTGAGGCATTGGTGCGACCAAGGAGATAGTCTTCAGAAATATGGATGGTTGAAACATGATGGAGTTAATTTTGGTATACAGGAATTAGAAGAGAGAACATACAAAATAAGAACAGAGTTTGTGAAAAGAATTGGTGGTCAACATGGTGGTGATTGGACAGCCAGAATATCAGTCACACCAAAGGTATATTGACCATAATCTATTTTTTTTATTTGCAATTTATTCAAACAGGGTATTGAAAAGATCACTATGATTACGGATGGCTGTGTAACTTCCAGTAGCAAATTACAATGTAAATGCTATTTACTAATGTAGGAGGCAAACATGATGTTGTACAAATATAGTATAGTTTTATTCAGGCAAATTCAAGCACAAATATAAAAATTCACAAGACAAATAATATATATATACATGTATATATATACTTTTAAGAACATCAGTTGTTCGACCTGTTAGTCAAATGCATTTTGTTAAAATAGACTTTTTCACTTTTTGGTCTTTTGGAAAATGTTGTTTGTGCTGTATTTAGACCCCTCTACCAAGAAATTTGTTTTGCATGCACACATATAAAAATTGCGGTTTTTATCCAATGCAATCATAGGTTTGAACAATGTTTTCAATTTAGACTTGTTTATATTTTTCGTTTGGGCTTGTATTATATTTTCCTTTAGGTTTATATGATCCGTTCATCCTATTTGGACTCTTCAAAATTCAAGAGTCTATCCTAAATTGAGGTAAATTATATGGCCTTCCAAATACTGTTTAGATTCCTAACATCACTGAAGAGACATTTTAATTATCGAAATCCGGATATGGTGTACAAATTTTTGCACCTCATGTTTGCGGTATACCATTTTTTCCGCAAGTTTATTGTTTTCTGTTTGGTATTAAAATGATAATTAAGATCCATTTTGTTACATCTTGTGATACGTTTATTTGGCAATCGCCATGGCAGTCAGCAGGGTTTAAGAACATCAGTTGTTCGACCTGTTAGTCAAATGCGTTTTGTTAAAATATACTTTTTCACTTTTTTGTCTTTTTGAAAATGTTATTTGGGCTGTATTTAGACCCCTCTACCAAGAAATTTGTTTTGCATGCACACATATAAAATTGCGGTTTTTATCCAACGCAATCATAAGTTTAAACGTTGATTTCAATTTAGACTTGTTTATACTTTTAAAATAGTATCATAATATATTTTAAAAACAGTGCTTAGAAAGAAGCCTGGGATGTCCCATAAAATCTTACATAGTATAGCTTATTTCCAATGGGGTCCCTTGTTTAAAAATTTATAAAAATAATATTTTCAAATTATATGTTGAAATTTTACTTTAACCAAAAAAAAAGAAAGATCAATTGTTTCTTAAAAAACATATAAAAAATCTCCAGTTTCTATATTTCTTGCTGTTATTTTTAATTGTTCTTTAACTGCAGTCTTAAAAGCAGATTAATTTGATATTCTTTATATTGGCTGGTAGATTGTTCCAGTCTTGTATAGCGTTATAGACAAAGCTGTTTTTATTACAGTTTTTAACATTTGGTACAAAATAATTATTATGTGCAGCACTTCTGGTATTATGATTGTTCAAGTCAAAATGTTCACATAAATACTCTGGAGCATGTCCATGGTATATATTGAATACATGGTTTAATCTAAGTTGACTAACTCTATCTTTTACACATAGCATATTCACTTTATCTAAAATATTCTGTACAACTTGCAAATTTTTTGTCATCCCTTTGCCCAGACTACTATACCATGAAGAGCAAGAATAATCAAAATAGCATTGTATCAGAGCAGATGCGAGAGTCATCCTTGATCTAGTATCCAAACATTTGGCATTTCTATATAAAAATCTAAATCTTGCATTAACTTTTTTTATGATCAGTGATGATATTGGAAACTATTTGTTCACAATTTAAAAAATTATCAATGTGAACTCCTAAATATTTGACACAATTTGTCGATTTGATAAGGTGATCATTACATTTGACCTGAAAATTAATATTTTGTCTAATCTTTTTTGGAGGTCCAAAAAGCTTGCATTCAGTTTTTATACGATCACAAAAAAATTTTGCGGTCGTATATTGGTATGACGTTGTCGTCGTTGTCCGAAGACACATTGCACTCTAACTTTAGTTTAAGTGAATGGATCTCTATGAAATTTTACCATAAGGTTCAATACCACAAAAGGAAGGTTAGGATTGAATTTAGGGGTTATGGTACCAACAGTTAAGGAATTAGGGGTCAAAAAGGGGCCAAAAATAAGCATTTTTGTAACTTCCAGACATAACTTGTGTGTTAGTGTATGGATCTCTCTGACATTGTACCACAAGGTTCCATATCACAAAGGGAATGCTGGGATTGATTTTGGGGGTAATTGCCTCAAAATTTTAGGAATTAGGCCAATAGGGGCCAAAAAAGGGGCAAAAAACCAAGCATTTTTCTAGTTTCATGACAATAACTTGTGTGTAAGTGTATGGATCTTTCTAAAATTGTACTACAAGGTTCCATATCACAAAGGGAAAGCTGGAAATGAGTTTTGGGGTAATTGCCCAAAACGTTTAGGAATAAGGGGCCAAAAATAAGCATTTTTCTAGTTTCCAGACAATAACTTTTGTTCAAGTGTATGGATCTCTCTGAAATTGTACTGCAAGGTACCATACCACAAAGGGAAGGCTGGGATTGATTTTGGGGGTAATTGCCTCAAAATTTTAGGAATTAGGGGCCAAAAAGGGGCAAAAAACAAGCATTTTTCTAGTTTCAGGACAATAACTTGTGTGTAAGTGTATGGATCTTTATGAAATTGTACTACAAGGTCCCATAGGCATATCACAAAGGGAAAGCTGGGTTTGAGTTTGGGGTTGATGAATCATAAGGGGGTTCAAAAAATTTGGGGGGGGATTTTTTTTTCCTTTTTTGTCGAGCCTTCGACTTTAGTCGAAAAAGCGAGACATAGCGATCCTACATTCCGTCGGCGTCGTCGTCGTCGGCGGCGTCCACAAATATTCACTCTGTGGTTAAAGTTTTTGAAATTTTAATAACTTTCTTAAACTATCCTGGATTTCTACCAAACTTGGACAGAAGCTTGTTTATGATCATAAGATAGTATCCAGAAGTAAATTTTGTAAAAATAAAATTCCATTTTTTCCGTATTTTACTTATAAATGGACTTAGTTTTTCTGCTGGGAAATATTACATTCACTCTGTGGTTAAAGTTTTTGAAATTTTAATAACTTTCTTAAACTATCCTGGGTTTGCACCAAACTTGATCAGAAGCTTGTTTATGATCATAAGATAGTATCCAGAAGTAAATTTTGTAAAAATAAAAATCCATTTTTTCCTTATTTTTACTTTTAAATGGACTTAGATTTTCTGCCAGGAAACAACACATTCACTCTGTGGTTAAAGTTTTTAAAATTTTATTAACTTTCTTATACTATTTTGGATTTGTACCAAACTTGGACAGAAGCTTGTTTATGATCAAAAGCTAGAATCTAGAAGGAAATTTTGTAAAAAAATAAATCCATTTTTTTCCGTATTTTACTTTAAATGGACTTAGATTTTCTGCCAGGAAACAACACATTCACTCTGTGGTTAAAGTTTTTAAAATTTTAATAACTTTCTTATACTATTTTGGATTTGTACCAAACTTGGACAGAAGCTTGTTTATGATCAAATGCTAATATCTAGAAGGAAATTTTGTTTTTTTGTTCTTCCAGTTAACATTACATTCAGTCTGCAGTTTAAGTTTTTAAACATTTATTAGATTCATAAACTATCCTGGATTTTTACCAAACTTGGACAGAAGCTTCTTACAATCAAAAGATAGTATCAAGAGGAATATTTTCATTGATTTACTTCCTCATTTTTGTTGAGCCTGCGATTAACAGAAAAAGTAGGCGAGACACTGGGTTCCGCGGAACCCTTACGAATTTTTTTCTTTAAAATTTTCCATTTTAAATTGGTTATTTCTGATTTATATATAAAAGCAAATAAAAATGATATGGTCTGAATAGGTAAATTAAAAAATTTTAAGTTCTTAGACCACATTCATTCTGTGTCAGAAACCTGTGCTGTGTCAAATATTTAATCACAATCCAAATTCAGTGCTGTATCAAGCTTGAATGTTGTGTCCATACGTGCCCCAACTGTTCAGGGTTCGACCTCTGCGGTCCAGCGGAGCATTTTATTCCTAGATGTAAAGACAGTCTATTATCTGCTAACCAGTCTGAACATTTTTCTAGAACTTTTCCCAATTTTGTAGAAATAATATCTGGATTTTTATGAGTATATAAAATGTCAACTCTCAAGATGAAGGTTACTTGTATGCTTCAAGTTTGGAATGATATCTCATTTTAATTAAGTTTTTGTAGGTATGTGTTGTTTAATTTTCAATTCTATTGCATTCATCCCACATTTATGGATTTTAGCAAGTTACCATGATGGCTTAGTGACCAGGGTCATGACTTAGTTATGACATGTCAACTATGGATTTGACCATAAATAAAAGCAAATTGACAAAAATTTGGATAATGAGCTGAGCAATAAATATTCTAAAATTCTCATCAAGATTCATTGTCTGATAACAAAGCATGAGCATCTTGTTTTCAAACCAAGTTCTCTAATGTGTAATGAGTATCAGTAAATACATATTAAAAGAAAATAACACATTATAATTTCATGCGTCAGATGCACGTTTCTGGATTTACCTTTATCAGGAACACTCAAACATGAATATAATGAAATTGTTTTCTTCATATTTTCAAAATTGCTACATTTCACCATGTTCACATGTTTCAGTTTACCTGTTTATGTTTTGGAAAGTTCTATTTATTGCTTTATCTTTCAGTTGTTATGGTATTTAAACTGATTTTTTTTTAAATATATATATATATATCAAGTTTTACAAAATTCATGGCATCTGTATTTTTTTTTTAATGTGACAAAACAAATTTGTTTTTTTTTTAATATTTTAGTAGAAAAGAAATCAATTTAATCCATGTATTCAATAAATCATGTGGTATGAACTACATTAAATCAAAGGCTTGAAGCAATTGTATAGTACCTTGTACATGAGGTTCAAAGGATGTCAAATGGAGATACAGGAAGTTGTTTTATATACATGATTATATAATATAACAGTAAGAGTACATGTACATCTATCATTCAGAGTTCTCAC